CCAGGATGTTGATAGTGGGGGATTCAGTGACGGTAACACCATTGAATGTCAAGGGGCGGTGGTTAGATTGTCTCTTATTGGTGATGGTCATAGCCTGGCATTTGTGTGGCACAAATGTCACTTGCCACTTGTCAGCCCAAGCCTGGATACTGTCCAGATCTTGTTGCATATGAATGTGGACTGCTTCAGTATCTGAGGAGTTCAAATATGTTCCCTTACTGTTACCAATACTCCATTTCAGTGGCAGGAGTCGTGAGAGCACGGGCCAGAGGGCAGCCGGGAAGGTAGGTTTGCGTATAAAATACTTGCCTCGTGAATAGGCGGAGCGAAGGCTGAGCAGGAGCAAATGTGGACACGGGGTCTGCTGGATAAGTGAACTAATATATTTAGGCAGTGGCTAAACCTGAAACACTTCACGTGAAGTGTCTCCCACCCATTCTCCACTTTTAACCCAAAAAAAAAGACTCTTGTGTGGAGTGTCGGTAAGGTGAGGTTGTTTTTTTCTTTTTTCTTCTTTCTCTTTATCTCTTTTGGCAATTTAGAGCAGAGGGGATGGAAGCTAGGGCAGTTACATGCATCTTTTGTAGGATTTGGGAGGTGAGGGTCACCACTAGTGTCCCTGCTGACTTCACCTGCGAGAGGTGCACCCAATTCCAGCTCCTCACAGACCGCGTCAAGGGAACTGGAGCTGGAGCTGGATGAACTCCGAATCATTCAGGAGGCTGAGGGGGTGACAGAGAGGCATTATAGGGAGGTAGTCACACCAATATTACAGGAGAAAAGTAGCTGGGTGACCGAAAGAACATAGGCAGACAGTGCAGGCATCCCCTGCAGCCATTCCCCTCAATAATAAGTATACCTCTTTGGATACTGTTGGGGGTGTGGGCAACCTACCAGGGGAAAGCCATAGCGGCCAGGTCTCTGGCATTGAGCCTGGCTCTGTGGCTCAGAAGGGAATGGGGAGAATTGGAGAGCAATAGTGATAGGAGATTCAATGGTTAGGGGAACAGACAGGAGATTCTGTGGTTGTGAATGAGAGTCCTGGATGGTATGTTGCCTCCCGGGTGCCAGGGTCAGGGATGTCTCGGATTGAGTCTACAGGATTCTTAAGGGGGAGGGTGAGCAGCAGAAGTCATGGTACACATTGGTACCAATGACATAGGTAGGAAAAGGTATGAGGACCTGAAAAGTGAATATAGGGAGTTAGGTTGGAAAATAAAAGGCAGGATGAGCAGAGTAGTTATCTCAGGATTACTACTGGTGCCACAGGCGAGTGAGGCCAGGAATAGAGAGCGAGTGCAGCTGAACGCATGGCTGCACAGCTGGTGTAGGAGGGAGGGTTTCAGATATGTGGATCATTGGGATACCTTGTGGGGAAGGTGGGACTTGTACAAGAAGGACAGGTTGCACCTGAACTGGAGGGGCACCAATATCCTAAAGTCTTCGGGAGGGTTTAAACTTGTTTGGCAGGGGGATGGGAACCGGAGCTACGGATCAGAAGCTGGGGTAGCTGGTGTACAGGTAGATACAGCATGCAGAGAGTCTGTGGGGAAGGAGAGACAGTTGACAGGGCAAAGTTGCAGTCAGTGTGACGGGTTGAAGTGAGTCTATTTTAGTGCAAGAAGTGTCAGGAATAAGGGCGATGAACTTAAAAGCATGGATCAGTACTTGGAGCTACGATGTTGTGGCCATTACGGAGACTTGGATAACACAGGGGCAGGAATGGTTGTTGGATGTTCCAGGGTTTAGATGTTTCAAAGAAATAGGGAGGGAGGTAAAAGAAGTGGGGAGTGGCTTTGCTAATCAGGGATGGTATCACAGTTGCAGAAAGGGAGGTTGTCGAGGAGGGTTTATCTACTGAGTTAGTATGGGTGGAAGTCAGAAACAGGAAAAGAGAAGTCACTTTATTCGGAGTTTTGTATAGACCCCCCCATAGCAACAGAGACACTGAGGAACATATTGAGAGGCAGATTTTGGAAAGATGCAGAAGTAATAGGGTAGTTGTCATGGGTGACTTCAACTTCCCTAATATCGATTGGACCCTCCTTAGTGCAAATAGTTTGGATGGAGCAGATTTTGTCAGGTGTGCCCAGGAAGGATTCTTGACTCAATATGTAGATAGCCCGACTAGAGGGGAGGCCATATTGGATTTGGTGCTTGGCGACAAACCAGGTCAGGTGTCAGATCTCTCAATGGGAGAACATTTCGGTGATAGTGATCACAACTCCCTGACCTTTACTATAGTCATGGAGAGGGATAGGATCAGATGGTATGAGAATGTATTTAATTAGGGGAGGGGGAATTACAATGCTATTAGGCAGGAACTGTGGAGCATAAATTGTGGAAGCTGTTTAGGGACCACTGGTTTGAGTACTGGATAGGTTTGTCCTACTGAGGCAAGGAAAGGATGTAAGGTGAAGGAACCTTGGATGACAAGACATGTGGCACACCTAGTCAAGAGGAAGAAGGAAGCTTACCTAAGGTTGAGGAAGCAAGGAGTGGACAGGGCTCGAGGGTTACAAGGTAGCCAGGAAGGAATGGAAGAATGGACTTAGGAGAGCTAGAAGGGGGCATGAAAAAGCCTTGGTGGGTAGGATTAAGAAAAACCCCAAGGCATTCTATACTTATGTGAGGAACAAAAGGATGGGCAGCGTGAGGTTAGGGCCGATCAGGGGTAGTGGAGGGAATTTGTGCCTGGAGTCGGAGGAGGTAGAGGATGTCCTTAATGAATAGTTTGCTTCAGTATTCACCAGTGAGAGGGACCTTGTCATTTGTGAGGACAGCGTGAAACAGGCTGATATGCTCAAACAGGTTGGTGTTAGGAAGGAGGATGTGCTAGAAATTTTGAAAAACGAGGATAGATAGATCCCCTGGGCCAAATGGAATATACCCAAGGTTGCCATGGGAAGCAAGGGAAGAGATTGCTGCGCCTTTGGCAATGATCTTTGCGTCCTCACTGTCCACTGGAGTCGTACCAGAAGATTGGAGGGTGGCAAATGTCATTCCCTTGATCAAGAAAGGGAATAGGGATAATCCTGGAAATTACAGACCAGTCAGTCTTACTTCTGTGGTGGGCAAATTATTGGAGAGGATTCTGAGAGACAGTATTTATGATTATTTGGAAAAACATAGTTTGATTAGAGATAGTCAGCATGGCTTTGTGAGGGGCAGGTCATGCCTCACAAGCCTTATTAAATTCTTTGAGGATGTGACAAAACACATTGATGAAAGTAGAGCAGTGGATGTGGTGTATATGGATTTTAGCAAGGCGTTTGATAAGGTAAATTTGGCTGCCTGGATACGGAATTGGCTGTCCAATAGAAGAAAGAGGGTGATAGTAGATGGAAAGTATTCAGCCTGGAGCTCAGCGACTAGTAGTTTCGCAGGGATCTGTTCTGGGACCTCTGCTCTTTGTGATTTTTATAAATGACTTGGATGAGGAAGTGGAAGGGTGGGCTAGTAAGTTTGCCGATGACACAAAGGTTGGTGGAGTTGTGGATAATGCGGAGGGCTGTTGTAGGTTGCAACGGGACATTGACAAAATACAGAGCTGGGCAAAGAAGTGGCAGATGGAATTCAACCCAGAAAAGTGTGAAGTGATTCACTTTGGAAGGTCGAATTGGAATGCAGAATACAGGGTTAATGGCAGGCTTCTTGGCAGTGTGCAGGAACAGAGGGATTTTGGGGTCCACGTCCACAGATCCCTCAAAGTTGCCACCCAAATTGATAGCGTTGTTAAAAAGGCGTACGGTGTGTTGGCTTTCATTGGCAAGGGGATTGAGTTTAAGAGCCATGAGGTTATGCTGCAGCTCTATAAAATCCTGGTTAGACCACACTTGGAATATTGTGTTCAGTTCTGGTCGCCTCATTCTCGAAAGGATGTGAAAACTTTGGAGAGGGTGCAAAGGAGATTTATCCAGGATGCTGCCTGGACTGGATGGCAGGTCTTATGAGGAAAGGTTGAGGGAGCACGGGCCTTTCTTATTGGAGCAAAGAAGGATAGAAGTGTACAAGATGATGAGAGACATAGATAGAGTGGATGGCCAGAGATTTTTTCCCCGGGCAGAAATGGCTATCACGAGGGGGCATAATTTTAAGGTGATTGGAGGAATGTATAGGGGAGATGTCAGAGGTAGGTTCTTTACATAGAGAGTGGTGGGTACGTGGAATGCACTGCCAGCGGTGGTAGTAGAGTCACATACATTAGGGACATTTAAGCGACTCTTGGATAGGCACGTGGATGATAGTAAAGTGAAGGGTATGCAGGTTAGTTGGATAATAGGTCGCACATCATCGTGGGCTGAAGGGCCTGTACAGCGATGTACTGTTCTATGTTCTAATACAAAACGTGACTTCTCCTGCTATGTTCTAATACAAAACATGACTTCTCCTGCCTTACTCTGGGTGCACTACAGCAGCCTCTCAAGTGACACCTTTGAATCTGCTACCCGGAAGCAACCACGATGTCAGCAACCTCATTTATCAGGGACTAATTAATAAAAGTTAAGTTCTAATGAACCCAACTGCATTCGTCTGCACACATGATTATGCCTTGCCAACAGATTACCAATGCAGCATAATCTTATGGACAGTGATAATAACATTCTAGTTGAGAATAGCAGATTCTGTTCGGTTTTAGATATACTCAGCAGTAAGGCAGCACGATGGAGACAAGTGAAAGTTTTCAGGTCGATGATCCTTCATCAGATCTAAGATAGAAATATAATACACTTTATGCAAGTGGGTGGGAGTAGCAAAAGAAATAAAGTGTCATTCTTCTTGGTCGATCAAGCTTGTGGAAGAAGTTACGAAACGAAAACATTTCTGTTGGAAGGACATTTCAGATCGGAACCGAAGCGTATCCATCAGGAACTACTGGAACAGAACGGAAGTGTATCGAGCGAGCACTGCACGAACGGAACGGAAGTTATCGGACGACCATTCCGGAGCGGAACTGAAAACTGTGTCCATCCCGCACTACTGGAACGGAAGTGGATCGGGCGGGCGTTACTGGGGCGGGACGGAAGTGTCCGAATGACGCTCGCTCGCTCTGAGTGCGCGCGAGCGCAGCGTCGGCAGGAATTTTTTTTATAAAATAACGCCGACTTGCAAACGGCTCTCGGTAATCATAAGTTCAAAATAATCACGACACTGAATATCAAACAGGTGCTCTTTGAAAAAAAAGTTAAATTTTTTTTTAAACTGCACCGTCCGCTCTTTGGGACCTGCCCTGTGAATCTCCGATTATTATTCACTCTACCTCCATGTGGATTCAAAGACTTTCCCTTCCTCATCATGGCCAGAAAAATAGTTAGCAGAAAGAGAAAGGCTGCGGAACTAGAACCGGAGCAGGTAGGCCGCTCATCTTTTTACTTTATTGCAAATGAGCTGTAGATCTGGCCCAGGGTGGACTCATGTGATTTGCTGCAACACCCCTCAATTCAGTCCCGCCAATCTTGACTGCCCTGTATTTTTTTTTGTACTTCCCGCGTTGGTGATTGCAATCGGAATGGCTTATTTAACACATTTTCTTCTCTTGAGGATCTTTAATGTGTGGGTTTCTCTTCCCCGGAAGACACCCAAGGCTTGAATTTATTAAAATTCAATAAATTTATTTAAATTGAATTTGTCCAAGGTTGAGTTAGGCATGTTTTTGTTTAACTTATTTGTCCAGGCTGTGATGGACAGAGCAGAAAGTGGAGTTGTTAGGGCAATCAGCTATAATCTTTTCAGAATAATGCAGCTGGCTCAAAGAGCTGAATGGTCTAAATCCTGTGTCTATAATGCTTTGTATTTTAGGAAGGATTGATCTTACTGACTTTGTAATCAACTTGAAGATATCGGCACTCTGGGTTTTGTTTTAAATTGATTTGTATATTTATTATCTGACACGAATATAAACCTTTAAATTTTAATATTGAGCTTCTCTAAATTAAGTTTGGGAATTTCACTTGCATCCATGTGAATGGTTAAAGGTGGTGATATGATTTAGCCTCAATAGACTAAGTTATGTGATCTAGTATTAAATATACACAGTTTAAAAATGAATTTGTTATTACACAAAATTTCCAAAACTATAATAAAACTGAAGGTAATCAGGGTTGGAACTGCGAGTTTCAAAGATTTGGAATCTGATAAAATGTTGTAATATTGTCTCTTTGTCCATTTGGTATCAAATGCTTGCTTTTGTATTTTGATGGAATATTCTTGTTTCTGTTCATGCAGTAGGAGGTACATTTTCCTGTAACCTCGGTCTTGGTTTTGGAAATGGTGTGCAGTCCCTCATAACTCTCTGGTTCAAATGTACTTGATCTGAAACAGTTTTGTTGGCTTTGAACAAAATGTTATGCATTTTACTCATTCAAAAGTCAGTTGAGATTGCTTTATGAAGTCATTTTGCCATTATGATGTCATACTCCTGAGAATGAGATATATTTCCATTATGAACTAACTGTAATAGATTTAAAAATAGTTTAACACATATTTCTTGATAAGAACTTCCTGTTTTTAAAATTCCCTTTTAGTGACAGCTTTCACTACAAATTCATATAAGTGAAAACATATAGTGTGGCCAATTTAGCGCGTTGGTTTCACGCATCCTTGTTTGTCAGTTGTGACACAATGCAATATCCTAACCAATGTTATTTCTCCATTTTCCAGTTTAATCCATGTATTGTCACTTTACAATTTGCCATAATCATGACATAATCACGATTCTTGTGAATTTGTAATGATTTGTTACTGGCTCTTTCAGTTGGGGTTCTGAAGGAACCATTGGATCTTCGTCTGTTTGTAATATATGTTAATGACTTGGATATTTACATGTCACATCATGCTTGCATGAAAATTGATAGTGTCGATGGTAAGAAAGTAAGTCTCACTGGCCTGATCAGATGCATAGAAAAACAGCATAGCTTTCATTCAAAAGAAGTATGAGGTCATGCATTTGGAAAGAGCAGACTAGACGAAAGGAAATGCACAATAAATGGTCGGATTCTTAGAGGACAGAGTGAGTGCTTGTCCACAAATCCCTGAAGGTAGCTGGATAATTAAGCAATACAGGATACATAGGAGGTATGGTTAGTAAGTTTGCAGATGACACCAAAATTGGTGATGTAGTGGACAGCCAATAAGGTTACCTCAGAGTACAACAGGACCTTGATCCGATGGGCCGAGGAGTTTAATTTAGATGTGGGGGTGCTGCATTTTGGAAAGGCAAATCAGGGCAGGACTTATACACTTAATGGTAAGGTACTGGGGAGAGTTGCTGAACAAACAGACCTTGCAGTGCAGGTTCATAGTTCCTTGAAAGTGGAGTGGTAGGTAGATAGGATAGTGAAGAAGGCGGTTGGTATGCTTGCCTTTATTGGACGGTGCTTTGAGTATATGAGTTGGGAGGTCATGTTATGGCTGTAGAGGACATTGGTTAGGCTGCTTTGGGAATACCACAGGGGTCAATAGATGTGAAGCTGGAAAAGCACAGCAGGTCAGACAACATCGGAGAAGCAGGCCTTCCTCCAATTTAAAACTTTAGCTTTTAGAACGGGTCTGTCCTTTTCCATCACTATTTTGAAACTAATAGAATTATGATTACTCGTCCCAAAGTGCTGCCCCACTGACACCTCAGTCGCCTGCCCTGCCTTATTTCCCAAGAGAAGGTAAAGTTTTGCACCTTCTGTACTATATACGTCCACATGTTGAATCAGAATCCCAATAAGGTGATCATCCCTTTCTTATTTCTCAGTTCTACCCAAATAACTTCCCCGAATGTACTCCCAGGAATATCCTCCCTAAGTACAGCTGTAATGTTATCCCTAATAAAAAATGCACTCCCTCTTCTCTCTTGCCCTCCTCTCTATCCTTCCTAAAGCCTTTATATCCTGGAACATTAAGCTGCCAGTCCTGTCCATCCCTGAACCACATTTCTGTAATCGCTATGATATCCCAGTCCCAAGTTTCTAACCATGTCCTGAGTTCATCTGTCTTACCTGCTGCTTACGTTGAAATCCATCTACCCATTCATCTAGTCCATCAATATCCCTTTGCAATTTTGTGCTATCATCTACATTGTCTACAATGCTGCCTAATTTTGTGTCATCAGATTTGGATATATTGACTTTGTATGTCATTATCCAAGTCATTAATAAATAATGTGAATAGTTGGAGCCCTAACAGAGTTGCCTGGGGGACACCATTTGTGACCAACTGCCAATTTAAGTATGTAGCCATTTTCCTACTTTCTTGTTGCCTGCCACTCAACCAGTTTTCCAGCCAGTAAATTGTCCTCATTCCATGGCTTCTAAATTAGTTGAGTCTCTTACATGAGACTTTATAAATTGCCTGCTAGAATCATAGAACCCACAGAGTGCAGAAAGAGGCCATTCAGCCCATTGAGTCTGCACAGACCCTCTGAAGTGCATTCCGCCCAGATCCAGCCTCCCACTCTATCCCCTTAACTCCACCTAACCTGCACGTCTTTGGACTGGATGTCCACATAAGGAAGATCCAAAGACACTCCCTTGTCCACAACCTTAGTCACTTCTTCAAAAAATTCAATGAAGTTTGTTAGGTTTGTTATAAATAGTATATGATCGTGTAGGAGGGTACAAAGGTAATTTGAAATGTGGCTAGGAATGGAGAATTGTATAACACTATGACAAGCCTAAATAGCTTCTTGGGATAAAAACAGCAGCCGAATTCATGGTACCACGATTGGTTCTGCCATGGAGGAAGGGAGAAATAGGCATAGAAGTGCTATAGTTACAGGGAACTCAATCGTAAGGGGAACAGTTAGACGTTTCAGTGCCTGCAAATGAGAGTCCAGGATGGTGTGTTGCCTCTCTGGTGCTAGGGTCCTGGATGTCTTGGAGCAGTTGCAGGACATTCTGGAGTGGGAGGTGAACAGCTAGTGGTCGTAGTAACGACATAGTTTCTAAAAAAAAAACGAGCTCCTAAAAGCAGAATATAGAGAACTATGAAGAAATTTGAAATGTAGGACCTCAAAAGTAGTTTTCTCAGGATTACTACCAGTATCACAATCTAGTCAGAACAGAAACAGCAAGATATATAGGATGAGCACATGGTTGAAAAGGTGGTGTGAGGGGGAGGGTTTCAGAATCGTGGGCATTGGGATCAGTTCTGGGATAGGTGGGACCCTACAAACTGGATGGGTTACACCTGGGCAGGATCAGGACTGATGTCCTGGGGGTATACTTGGTAGAGTGGTTGAGGAGGATTTAAACTAGTGTGGCAAGGGTTGGGAACCAGAGGAGTAGGGCAATAGATGCAGAAATTGGGAGAGAGATAGAAACCAAGACAAACATGAATAAAAACAAGAACAGGCAGTGAAATGGTCCTGAAAAGAGCAGGGAAGGTGATCTGAAATGCATGTGTTTCAATGCGAAAAGTATAAAAGGTTGGTTAGTACTTTTCTTTTTCTTTATTCATTCACTGGATAAGGGCGTTGCTTTTAGGCAGCATTTATTGCCCATCCCAGTTGCCCAGAGGGCAGTTGAGAGTCAACCACATTGCTGTGGGTCTTGAGTCACATTTCGGCCAGACCAAATAAGGTCTGGCAGTTTGCTTACTTAAAGGACATGAATGAACTAGATGGGTTTTCCCGACAATCGACAATGGATTCATGGTTATCACTAGATTCTTAATTCCGGATTTTTTTTAAAATTGAATTCAAATTCCACCATCTGCCGTGGCAGGATTTGACCCCAGAATGTTATATTGGTCTCTGGATTAATAGTCCAGCGATAATACCACTAGGCATTGCCTCCATTTGGAATTATGACATTATTGTCATTATGGAGACCTGGCTGAAAGTTGGACAGGACTGGCAGCTGAATGCCCCAGGATTTAGACCTTTCATGTATGATAGAAAGGGATGTAAAAGGGTTGGGGGAATTGCATTATTGGTAAGCTGTATCTCTCAGCTGTTTTGAGGGAGGATACATCAGAGGACTTGTGCAGCGAGGCAATATGTATAGAAGTCGGGAATAGGGAAGGTGAAATCACAATGCTGGGGGTATGCCACAGGCCTCACAACAGCCAGTGGGAGATAGAGAAGATAATATGTGGATAGATTTTGGAAAGATGTAAAAATAGCAGGGTTGTTGTGGGGGGTGATTTTAACTTCCTCTGTATTGATTGTAGCTTGTTTTGTGCTAGGGACTTGGATGGGGAAGAATTTGTAAGGACCATTCAGGAAAGTTTCTTGACACGATATGAACAGCCCAACCAGGAATAGGGTTACACTGGTCCTGGTTTTGGGAAATAAGCCCAGCCAGGTGAGTGAAGTGGGGGAGCATTTTGGGTGTAATGACCATAATACTGTGAGTTTAAGA